TTTATTAAATTGCAGAAAATAGCAGACGGTTTGGTAGATAGGATGGATAAGATCCATAGATCCCGTTATGATAAGAAATTGAGGAATTTAGGCATCAACATCAGCCAAAGGAATGGTCGAAACAATTTTTCTAGCAAAAATAAAGTCATTTATTTATCCAATATATCTTTAGATGTTAATGTTACACTTGTCTTGGAAAGCGGACTAAACTTTGTCTTTCCAAATGAGCAAAGTCTTTCTATGGAGATATTGGTTAAGTTAATTAACTTAACGTACAAGCTGCCAGAAGAGGCTAAGAAAAGTATAGAAAGAGAAGTGATTCCTCATTTTGATGAAGTAATTATTCCAAAGAAATCGTATGACTCGAATAGAGTTTCTGGCTTTTTGCACCAGAATGATGTGTTTTTTTTAAGGGTAGATAAGAGTGGTGCAGTAGCCATCATGGATAGATTAAGTTACATAGAAAAAATGATGGTTCATTTAAATGACTCAGAAACATACAGAACTTTAATGAACGCTCCCGCAGAGAGTCTTAAGGCCAGACTTAGGGAATCGCTTAACGTTTGTGTAAGCAGAAGAGGAATTGAGAAGTGGAAAATGAATTAACTTCTTCAGAGAGCTGCAAGGGCACATTCGGCTTACAGCCTTCCAAAAATGCACAAGGAAGAATTTCCTTTAATATTAATTCTTAATAACAAGAGTACTGTGACGCATATGATCTCACGTTTCTTATGTAGACAAGTAAGGAAAATGGCTGAGTATTGGAGATATTCAGTGAAGAATTCATATGAATTTGCTAGATTAATATATCGACAGAGTATTAAAGGGGAGAAGCTTTTGGTTAGTTTTGATGTGGTATCAACGTATACTAACATCCCAGTTCAGAAAAATATTGAGGCACTTATACTGAGCCTATATGAACACCCAAAAATTATTGGAAAGGGAAATCTGAGCAAAGGCTCAATATTAAGGCTTCTTAATCTATCCATGAGCAGCACTTATTTCATCTTCAATGGTAAAGTTAATGAACAGGTGCAAGGAATAGCAATAGGATCTTGCTTGGCTCCCATTTTGGCTAATAATTACATGCCAAGAATGGAGGAACACTTCATAGAAGAGGTGAGATTGACACTCAAACTGTTAGTTAGATATATCCATGACTACTTTGCCATACGGCAACATGGCGAGGATAGTTTAGATAATTTCTTAGTTTTTAATTAACCAGATTGGCTGCAACGTTAAGTTGGAGGTGGAGGTCAACAATACTTTACCCTTTTTAGATATATTAGTGATCAGAGCAGGTGAGAATTTAAGCAAGGATGTCTATAGAAAGCTAACACATGCTGGCATTATACTTAACTTCTTCTTCAATTTTAGTTACAACGCAAAGGTTGGGGTTTTAAAAGCTATGATTATTCGAAGCAAAAGACTAGCCAAAAAAGACCATTGTGACAATGAACTGAATCGGCTTAAAATAATATTTCTTGAGAATAATTATCCACTGGGCTTGATCGAAAATAACATTAGATTAATAAAGAATAGCTTTTTGAATGGTGAATACGTAAGTAGAGATAAGGAGACCTTTTCTCATGTTTTGTCTTTACCTTTGTGCATTTTCTCTAAAAGGAGTGGTGAACAAGAAAGGAAGTTGGGAATAAAAACGGTCTTCAGGAAAACTAAGACACTTTCTTCAGTTATGCCCACTTTTAGAGAGAAAGTTGACCCACTATCCAGATCTGGTTGCTACAAAATAATGTGTTCATGTAGTCACTTTAATATTGGAGAGACAAACGGTGGCTGAGCACAAAAGAGCCTGCAAAGGCTGTTGGGTTCAAAAATCGGAGCTGGCTTAGCACAAGTCAAAAACGGGACACGAGATTGAGTGGTCTCAAACTTGTCGTTTTGCTGATGATGGCATATTTGCGGCTAAACGTACAATTAGAGAAGCCATCGAAATAAACCGAGTAGGAAATACATTGAATGTAAGGAATATCGGCAAGGGGATATGTAAAAATTGCTTGTGCCAAATTAATAGACTCAAGGATAGAGGAGTTGCGCCGCCTGCAAAAAGGAGATGACGCAACTAGTCTTTTCTTGTTTTGGTTCAAATCAAAGCCACTTCTCTTTACTTTCAGCTCACTCTTTCTCTCTCGCATTGAGACCAAAACACAAAAAGGCTCATCAACTAAACCAGACGAGTGTCCAACCTTGCACGATAGGAGTGATGGTTATAAATTAAATGTAGAAAGGAGGAGGTAGGGGTCATAAAACCTTGATGGCCAAAAACAGACGTTCATTTTTGCTGTCCTTATTACTTTGAGCCATCACTGCGGGTTTCGTGCATAAGCGAACACAAATCGGCACATACACATACAGAGACAGACACACTCACATTCATCAAAGTTGGCATGTGACCTTAACTAACCAAATTACTTTATACTTGATCAAAGAGGCCAGATGTAGGGTATATATACCACTTTTTATGGATTTGCAGGTGGGTTTTCTTGACTCGTTTACTTGAATTTGGTTGTGACGATGATACCTTACTCTGATGATGTTCGTCATATGAAGAGATTACTTCGGAAACAGCGTCAGCATGAATGCTCCAGTAAAGCAAATCGACAGCTGGTCACAAGGAATCCGCTGTCGTCTTCTGGTGGAACCGACCTTCGAATCTCTTTATCCAACACTTTCACTCGAAATGGAAGTAAGCTCAAAACTCACTATCAGTAATGTCAAATTGAAGAGTCTTAAGAAGAGGAAATGGCACTTTTCTATAGAACAATGAGTGGTTTGTTTGTTTATATCCGGTTCGAGATATTTACTTCTTGGATTCTTTTGTATTCCGGTTTTGTCTATTCGTACATCTAAGTTGAAGCTAGGTTTTTTTTGAATAGTGGCTTATCTATCCATGTTAGATTCCCGTGAATGACCTGTGCTTCTTTGCGTATTTTAATTTTACTTTTATTTTAAAGGGCTTTTGTGCCCCGAAAATGAACTGCAGTTTGGTACAGCCCTCTTCTTATTTGGGCTTGCAGCAGAGTCTGAATTAAGATATATGTTGAGAAATTAACACTATCTATTCGTGTACATATCAGCTGTATCCTCCACATTGCGACTTGTGCAACATCTTCGCAATTATGTTTATTTTCGTCGAACTTTAAAGTATGTTAATTATCACCAGACACTTTTTTTGGGATGCTAGTTTGTTGTTTAAAGAGATCCATTTTTATTCGTTCGGGCGAGGCAAAAATATAAATTAATATTTATGTCAGGGAATGAACTATAACTAGAGGAAGGTAATAGCTGACAGCCCAGGGTTCCGAGACCAAACACACTTAAAGGCGTGAAAATGACACTTTTGGAAACCCCTCTCATACGTTTGAAATCAGTAATTTTGATAAATCAACTATAAGGTATAAGATAGCCTGGATCAGGAGAGTGTAGTTCGCCAGTTGGATAAGACAAGGGTGTTAAGGTGAAGAGTTGGCAAGCTGATAGAATTTGGAAGTAGTGGATGGCCGAGTGGACGCACAAAGTGTAATCGGATAGCCCAGCAGACAGGATACGATATCAGCGCCTAGAATTAGAAGCTAGTTTCTATGGCATAAAGAAAAAAACAATATAGGTTGCAGAGCTGAATTAGCTCACGGTACTGCATTGCTAAGATATACTGCTATGGGCCTCTTGGCTTGGAGGCATACGCTTTCTTGCGTAGTAAGGATTTTTCAGATGCAAACATTATTTATTTTTAGGAGTAGTGAGGAGATCACTTAACGAACAATTATGAGACATTTTGAAACAAACTATGATACAGAGGTGTATATAAAGGAAAATTGGTCGGCTGATGTGAAAATAAAGGATGAGGATGTAGCGCTAAGGGTTACAAACAACCGGTCATGATAATAAACACAGGTTTGGGGCTCTGCTGGCATAAGCAACAGTCCTATTTCACAAAATATGATATTCATTTGGTTTATTAAAAAGGTGTGCCTACAATATAATGAAGAAGCAAGTATGCAAATACCAGATTTATTTCATAATTAACATAATTCGCGGGTTTATTAAGAATGAGAATTTTCTGCACAATGGAATTTCGTATATTTAATTAAAGGGTTAAGCAGGGCCTGATTTCACTCATCTATATCTTTCATTTGGGCAAAGAAGGCATTAAAATGCGATTTTGAGTAATAGAAAAAGACCCTACAACAATAAGGGTAAACTTAAAATTGATTATGACAAGGAAGCAAGTGTTACGGCCCATTGTTTCATTAAAAAAGTGAGGAAAGCATTTATTCTTTTCTTACAGTAGTGTCCCACTTAACAACGAAAGCAAGGCACCACCATTACATCTTCCCCACTTGTCGGAAAGATGGTGTCTGCTACCTTGAATCTGCTCTTGCAAGGACTTATCGCACGAGTAGAGACCAGATAAACTCATCTTGACTTTTGCTAAGAATTAATGAGTCTGTTGTCGTAAAAGACAATCATTGTAGCCGCTGTTGGGCAAATATTTATTTTAGCCCTTCATACAGCTGCACTTTGATGTCACGCCGACAAACAACATTGAAATAATTTGAGCATTTTGAGTCTGTACAAGATTCTCCATTGTTTTGAGACTTAATTATTTCGTATAATCAACCATTGGCGACTTCCTAATATCATTTTTCATTTGTTGTGGATTAGCCTAATTGAATTGTTTGGCGCAAAATATCATAATTTATGTCGATTCACAAACACTTCCAGAGCATAAGCAGCGCGTCGACAACAATCATGTATGCCCATACGATTGTATCCCTCGTAAAAGATACTTCTGCCAGCAACAAAGGCAACAGAGGCCAGGGACCCGGCGTAATGTATGTGGCGCACATGGTAAATGTGGATAAGGTAGGAAATACTGGCCGAGCCCTGTCACTTATTCTTACAGTTGCAGAATACGCTCTGATTTGCGTCGGTGAGCAGTATAAGCAGTTTTAGACCGAAAAAGTGTCATTCAAAATAAAAGGGCCTTTTTATAATACCACACAGTTGCTTCGCACATGGAATAGAACCACACAAATCGCTTTACTACTTCTACGAGGCTTCAGGAACACCCTCTATTTGTATAGGTTGCGGAATAAAAAGCGAAATACAAAATCCACAATGTTATGGGAAACTGTCTTATTTCCTGACTGGATTAATCATTTTTTGCCTCTATTTTTATCTTAAAGCATACACGCCAAGAAATGAAGCAATGATAGGCTGAATATGCAGAAAGGCGGGAATAGAGACCTGATCAACCATCACTTGTTGGGTCACTATTAAGCACTGGACGGCCATATTGCCAAGTATTTAACCTGTAAAACAGCATGAAAATGGTTGAATATCTGTCTAAAATATTGCCGGAATATTTGGCCTTATAACAAATATGTCTATTTGGACTGGTGTCAACCCCATCTCGACAAGAT